CGGCCACAAAGTCAGCGTCGCAAGCTTCTCTTCCCTGGAAAGTGCTACACTCATGGGCAAAATGGGCTTCCCGTTTCGGTGAAGTATTTAAGTTTCCAAGCAACTTTGATGGAGCCAAAAGCTTGTCAAAATGTCTCAAAAACAACCTTAAAATGAAGGCAAAACTCATTTAAACGCTTTCATGCCTCACGACCATTTTTTTCTGGTCGTCATATTGATGCAGAGCTGCCAAATGGTGTCTGGAGGCTTACATTAGCGACGAATGTATGGAGATCTTGAGGAAGGCCATTTTGCCCGTGGCTGTATTGCCGGGAAAACACCCTCGACAGGGCGACACGCAAGATGAGGAAGCGACACATGGGTGACATTCTGTGCACAAACGGCCACCGAAGTTCGTTGCAGGTTGCGCAAAGATATCGAATGGCTGATCTTTGACATTTGGCATCCTTAACATATTTACGATGCTGGCACGCACAACAATCAGCCCAGGTCTACCCGGCATTACATACCGTCTAGCCAGCAAACTCCGAAATGCAGAACAAAGATCGCGTTTTAATGCCTTTGAAGAAGAATTTCAGGAACAGAAGAAATGAAAATATTTCTAGGAGTCTTCACAGTGTCATGCGCAGATTAGACTACCTGAATCGCAAATACGGCGTTGAAGTATATCTCTGCGCTAGAGACAAGAGATACTTCGAGTATAGCTCATCTCCATCATTCCATCCCACAACTCTTGATGTCGTAAGTGTCACGATCTCCAAACAGCACATATGCTTACCGCGACAGAGCCAGAGTTACAGGCCACTACGCAGAGGTCCAGCGGACTTTGACAACGGGGCTAGTTGTGCGGCAGGATGCGACAAGTCCACGTTTGTTCCGGACTGCGCCAACATGATCTTCACTTGACATTGGCTGTTCCGTGGAGGAAACTTCTAATGAACTGTGAATGATGATCTCCTTGTCTTGTAGCCGCGCAAATTGGCCAGTTTTCGACATCATGTCACTTTCAATGAGAGAAGGTGAGAGGGTATTCATAGGAGATGAAATACGATATTGATTGCATCATTTTGAACTTCGAGTTTTGCGTTAAGCTTTCACAAGCCTACGATCGAGTACCCCCATAGGTACTGCGCGTCGAATAGCAATTTGCCAGAAACATTCTCTATCGATGTCAAGGGGGTGTTAGTTCGAGCTAAGATGCATCGAGAGAGCGAGCCCCTGTTCAAAGTGTGATGGAAGCCTTGGGAGTCTGTTACGAGATGATTGTTTTCTTCCGTCACGAAAATGCACCTGGCACTTGGACGTAGCAAGCCATCATCGTTTTCGCAGCAGCTGAAAAAGTACACAGTGCTAGAGTTGCGGAAAGGCCTTCATTCGTCAACTATTAATCTTGATCGACGTATGTAGTCAATGGCGGGGGTTTTTTGACACCTTCAGCAGCGTCGTAGAGCATTGCTCACGAAGCTCGGGGCCTGGATCGAGGACCCGCTGCGGCAGCTGCTATGCATTGATGGCCAAGGTATAGATCAGATCTGCCGGCGATGCATACGTGCCAAACCCAGTTTTGAGGGCGCGTAAGAAACAGAATGATAATTATTCGTCTTCCTGGCGTGCTTTTGGATGCGGCACCGCATTAGAGAAGATTGGTCTGCTTATTCTCTAGTTCCATAGTATTTTGCTTTGGTAGCTCCTTCATTGATATTGGTTACATACACCATGTTGAATTACCTGTCAATCTCTGCACAGGAGCACGAACGATCAACCTATGTCCCGGCTGATTGGCTAGCGTCCCAACTCCTACATGCTTCCTTCACCTCGACATTGTACTCCTCCACTTTTCGCTGCAATTGCTCGACTTTTTCTCGCAGAGCTGGTACAAGTTCCAGTAAGAGCTTGCATTTTTGGCCCTCGGCATTGATATCACGTCGCAGGAAAACTTTCTCTTCTTCGAGCTCTGCGATGCGCTGTTGTGACGAGGCAGCGACAGTCTTGCTCGGAAGTTTCCATAGCTGTATTGCCTCAGTATTCCCACCTAACGACTGAATAGCAAAGTCGATGGAGTCGGGGGAGGACGGGCGGCTCATTCTAGGATGACCTCCCGGGGGCGGTGACGTTGGCTCTCTCATTATAGTGGAAAGTCGTCTCATCTGGGTAACATTTGGATAAAACTTTGGAAGCCGCACACAGTTTGTGTAGAGCCACCGTCGTACTCTAAATATAGTCATCCCGCATTTCTGGTCAGCAATATCAAGGGCCATGCTTGAGGGCGATGACAGCTGCCGCAGAAGTTGTCCATTGTGGCCGAATATTGATCAGTGCTTAGCTGCTGAAGGCTTTGACCCGCACTGACAATAGCTGGCAGGGTGGCAATATCGAGTTGAGCCACAACGAGATTTTAAGCTCGATCCGGGCATACCGCGAGCGCAGAGGTTGGCGTATTGAGGTCCAGCTTTGTAAGGAATGGCCGACATCATGGTAAGATCGCATACTACACCAATTTCCTCTCAAAACGAAGTTGTACGTAAACAGATGATCCAAGGCAACATCCGGCGCAATCGGTGTATTGTACCGCGAGCCCCATGCCACTGCCTAATATACAGTACCGTACGGTGCCAATCCTCACATTGATCAAAGTGACATTCAGGGAGACATTCACGACATGAGAGTGCAAGGCGGCTCTCGGCAACTGTAAGTGGACAAAGCGCATTGGATTAGGTATTATAGAGTGGAATAAATAGACATTAAAGTACTATACCGTCACCTAAGTGTAACTCATAATCTGCTCAATTCACCATGCTGAGAAGTGCCGCTATTAAGCATATCATCTGCCTTAGATGTCGAAAGCACGCAGAGGCCATGTCGACAGATGACCCACGAGACTTCCAATTTTGCAAAATTGGGTTCAACCTATATTATTGCGACAAATGCGCCGAGGACGTCGGATGGTGGACTAGGGCCGGCGCGGTTGTCATGGACAAGTCTTAAGTACAGCTTGAACGAAGACACAGCAGCGAGTCGAAGCTAACCATCGAGAAGAAACGTGATGCTCCAGAATTTAAGCATAGGAATCATTCCAGGAACTCGGGCAAGCGGTGATGGAAACCGCGGAGCTGTTCACTGCGTGTAAATAAGAGAAAGCGCTTATGTAATAAATACAACCCAGATGGAAAATTTGAAACGTGAGCAGCGCGTTTATTCTTTGTACAAGTGAGCGGCGTGGGAGCAAACAATCCACACACAGGCCCACATTGCCCCTAAACGTAGCTAGTAAGCCAAGGAAGAGGACGGCATCCTTCTTGATGTGCAGTATCAAAACGGCGGGGCTCCTCTGCATTTGCTTTGGCGCAGTGCCGATACGTAGCAATGCGACGTGCAAAGTTGAAGACACACCTGTGCTTGTCGCCGCCGCTGGGCGCAGGCCAATCTAGCCTTCGTATGTTTGTTTGAACGTCAGGTGCTTACCCGAGCTGCCACAGCGGATAACGCGACGCCCCCATTCATGCAAACGTAATCATCGAACGGAACATCTATAGTGCGTATCTTGCCTCGAAGAATTCGGCCCTCGGGGGCACTTCAAAGCACAACTTCACGGCAGACTGAAGGCAGGTTGGCGGCAAGTAGCCATGCGGCCGGAAACGGATGATTTCCTCGTTGTACAATGGCGGGGTCGGTGGCTACGGGTAACTCTTCAACAGTCTCACCGTCCTTCTTAGCGGTTGCCACAAGTCGCCGAGGTAAGCAGTCAGCGCTGATGCAACACATCTGTTCAGAATGTGGCTGCGTTGTACGAGATGCGCCAGGCTAAATGCGTAGTAATGCGCTTAATGGACGCGCCACCGTAGGCGACGCCACCGTTGTGTCGGCAACTTCTGGCCAAGCTCGCGGTTGTCGATAGGCCGCCTTCCACTTGACGTCTACCCGACGTCCAGTGTAGTCCACCTCGGGTGTGGGGCGGAATGGTGATCCTTCTCGTTGAGCGGCCAGTCTAAGTAGAATGGCACTCTCTACTTAATGCTAGCCGCCGATGCCAAAGTGGTAGTCATGTAGACAGAACGCCGGAAAGTGTCTCTACCTCACTGCTCATGTTTCAAACAGCGCCATCATCACCATGAGAGTCGCAGTAATTGGCGGTGGCCCTTCCGGCCTAGTTACATTGAAGTACCTGTGCGAGGCACACCGGTTTCTCGAGTGCGAGCGCGTTGAGGCGGTGCTATTCGAATACCAGACGCATGTAGGGGGCACGTTTTTCGCCCGAGCCTACGAAGACGCCGAGGTTGGTTGGTCTATGGCCAGGCCATTAAGCGTGCTAACACAAGCTCGCAGCTAGTTTCCTCCCGACAGCTTACTTCCTTCTCCGACTTCCGCTGCAACATTGGAAAAGATTTCCTCGCCGCACCCGAATACGTGGAATATTTGCACAAATACTGTGACCATTTCAGTCTCTGGCCGCACATCAAACTGAACGCAAAAGTGGTCTCTGTTACGCGTGGAGGCGGCCGCCGGCATGTCATCACGTACCAGAAGGATGGACGCTTACTACAGTGGAGCTGCGACGCGGTCGCCGTGTGCTCTGGGCTGCATGTAGATCCCAATATTCCAGAAATCAAAGGGTTAGAGAACATACCACGCGCAATCCATTCCTCAAAGTTCAAGGAGCGCAAGCAGTTCGACGGCTGCAAGACTGTGATGGTGGTAGGCTGCGGTGAAACTGGAGCAGATGTGGCTTATCTGGCCGCTACGCACCCGGACGTTGATCGAGTTGTCCTGTGCCACAAGGACGGTTTCCATTTCGCGCCAAAGGTTCGTTTCTTAAATGTTTCTCAATTCTCCAGCGAGTCTAACACGCTGCCCAGCGCAATTCCGGACCTGTCTTGCTGCCCATCCTCGGCCGCAAGCCAGATCCGGCGGAGCCCGGCATTCCGATCGATGTGAGCCGAGCGAGCCTTTTCGACACAGCTTATGTCCACCAAATCCTACGACGCAACGACGAAATACTATGGACCTATTATCATCTTTACATCAAGAGCCTGCTATGGTTGAGCTCGGGGACAACTGCTGGGATGGACCAGTGGGTAGGCGAGATCAGCCCAGAGCGCCACCATCCCTCCAAAAGTATCTCATTCAATTTTCAAGCACAAAAGATCAATGCAACACATTCCGCTAACCGCTGTGCCAGTCTTTTTCAACAAGTCCATGAAGGTCTGTCCATATATCAGTCTGCCTTATAGGCCCCATATCCCCGGACCCCGCCTATGGTTATATGCTCTACGGTCTGCTCTGGTACAGATTCCTGTGCCGGATACAAAGGGACGATGTGTTGATCTGGCGCCATGGCCATGCCGAATCCTGCCATCAGGAGTCACCAAGTTTGTGGACAACGGGCGGCCGGAATACCAAAGGCTACGAAACAGTCAGATTCGTCCGGATATGGTAGTTCTCTGCACGGGTTATAAACAGGGATTCGTTTTTTTCGATAGGCAATGCGACCAACCATATCCAACTCCTGAAAAAGCAGACGTGCGGCATATTTGGATGCGAACGGAGCCGTCTGTCAGCTTCATTGGTTTCGTGCGCCCCTCTCTCGGGGCCATACCACCTCTGGCGGAGATGCAGGCCCAACTCTGGATCACTCACTTATTTGCCAAACACAAGCTTCCTCGGGCGCTGCGTCCCGAAGACGAGCCACATTACCAGTTGCGCAGTGTGCCAGGAGCACGTATCCGGTACGGCGTAGACCACGAAAGCTATGTGTACCAGCTGGCCCTTGATATGGACGCTGCACCTGGTCTCGCAGACGTCATGTGCTTGGGCTCGCTGAGGCTGCTTCTTATCTGGACACTTGGTGCCAACTTCAACACCAAGTTTCGTCTCCGGGGCCCGTGGAAGTGGAAAGGCGGGTATGCTTTGCTAATTTCGGACGAGTTCTGGACCACAATCTCGAGGCGTCCAGTCATCTTCGGTGCGGTTCTTGGCAAGCTTGGCGTGTATTCAGGCTAACGTATGCTCAGGACATTTCGCGGTCTCCATACTCCCTATGCTAATCTTCGGGCCTGTTAACCTCGCCTGCTTCGTAGCAAGCTGCCTTTTCTCGATATTCCTCCATGGTGTGCCATAACGCCCATATTTACTGGTGGCCGGCAGCACAAGCTAAAGAGCTCCTTGGCGCTATAGCGATTAGTCAATTCATACATGAAGCAAGGAGCCAAATTGGTACAGCACTATTACTTCCTCCCAACTGCCGAGCCCATCTCGAGCCCATCTCTCCGCGGGATAAGAATGATAGGAACTATAATAATGATAATAACGATAATAACCCTTGATGAGTTCTTTTTCTTGTGTTGATGCCGGTTTCAAGTATGTGTGGAGCCATGCTGTGTTAGTAAGGCCTGTGCCAAAATCCTGCCCGACAGCAGCCACCCAACCCTGACAACACATCGTCAGTTGCCCAACGCATCACACCAACGCTAATTAGCGGACGACACATGAAAAACGCGTGGCAAAGCTCGTGATGCATGGCTGCTTGCTCATGCAACTCTCTGTGTGCACGAGATTGCGATTC